ACGAGGATGTGAAATCGAAAGGGATCGACAACTCGTACTTTTCTCAAGCCATCATGGGCACTGCAGACAGAGGACTCGAAAAACCACCTCCAAGTTGGCAAATCGCAAGGGCATTAGACATGATGCTCCTGAGGCACACAATTTCAGTCCCCGCCTTGCTCTGAAAACTTCTGACGGCAAAACGCAGGCATCATTGCAAATGTTTTTAGTCTATTCGCCTCCTCTTCCTCCTCCTCCTCTTCCTCGTCAATGTTTCCTTCTCTGCTCCTTCCTTTACTTTTTTTATTCCGCGAAGTTATCTGCTTTTGGCTCTTCCTGCATCTACTACATTCCTCTACCTCCCTCGGTAGATTCTGACAGGAAGGACGAGAGAGGGATGATAGTGGAAGAAAGGACGGAATTTACTGGCGATCACAGCATTCTATGCTCCAATAAATAGGATGGACAGTGGGCAGAAATTTTCGCTACGAAGTCTTTGCATTCGGTTTAATTGGAAATTTCCAAAGCAATGGACGGATTAAAATTGTGATTCTCAGGCGAACTCCGCCTAATCTTCTTGCGTCTTACAGTTTTAGTGGTGGTTTATTTTTTCCCTGGTCTCCAAGACTTTGCTGCTATTGCTGCATCTCCTGCAACGGTTTGGCAACGGTGCAAATCGGGTTCTGTATAGGGTCATTGTTGCCTTAATTGCTTCTCAGAGACAGTACTTATAAAACGAAACCGTTTTTTGCTTATTGGAAATGGTAAGTGTCTACATTTCTAGAGTAAAAGGTTTAATGATCAACTACTTGCCTGTTAACGTTGTGGATATCAAGTCATTTGGGCATGTGACAAAAGGGAGGCGGGATATGGGTTGTCCAAGTGGTGTCTTGGAAAAGTGGGAATATTGCTAAGGGGCAAGTGTATTTTTGAAGCGAACAAGGTAAAAGCATGCATGTATGCAGTCAAGTATTCGTATTTTAGATATCAAATAATGTGAGATCTTGTAATTTTGGGGAGTTTATGCCCATAGTGCAGCCATTTCAACCTATGTTGTTGCAAGCAGAGTGGGCCTTTATTTGGGTCAGTGATTAGATGGTCTCCCAATTAAAAAATACTCGCATCGTTCCTCTATCCCTTAAAAATATCTTTCAAATTGCTAAAATTAGGCGCTAAAGGAAATTGGTATGACAC